CACACTTGGAGCATGCGCGGCCAACCCGATGTGCCCCCCCTCCATCATCCCTTTCAAAGACAATGCAAGGTACACTTTCGGACAAAGTCGTGAGTCATGCTCCTGAGGCCCGCGAACACTTTGTATGGTTTCTGACAGGGACGGCGGGGGTGCCAACATATTCCCTGCCGTGCGCGGGGCTACCATCCGTGACAACAGAAACAATACAACATGTACCTCGCGGCTAAATCTGGACCATGCGCGGCCACCCCGCGATCACTGTCAAATGGTTCTTCACAGGGACGGCGGGGGTGACGGCGCGTGGCCTGCTGTGCGCAGGCCCACCAGACACAATGATGGGCATTGGTTTTCGACAAGGATGGAGGGGCCGACATGTTTCCCGTTGTGTGCTGTCACGTGCGCAGGCGCACCTGACGCACTCTGCACGCTCCACGAACATTGCGCACCTGGCGCGGCTGGGGTGTGCGACGCACCTGGCGCACTCGGAGCACGTGGCGCATCTGGCGCACCAGGCGTGCCTGGCACGCTCGGGCCCCAAGGGTGCCTGGCGCCCCTAGCACGCGTGGCGCACCTAGCCCCAGCATCGCGCACGTGGGGTCGGCTTTGGTTCCGAGTAGCTGTCCGCCTGGGGTCGGCGTTGGTTCCCAGTAGCTGCCTATCCCCAAAGGCAACCGCTGAAGATGCTCAGGCTCGGGTGTTACTTATGTGTTGGGAGGGCGGGTGGGAGTGAGCTAGACGGCTTGCGGGCGGGCGGCTTATTTGACCCCTCCCCCTAACCTAAGGAGCCCAAAAAGGACGTACGCGCCCAGCTATGTACATGAACACGGCCCCTCGATCCGCGAGACCGGCCGCGTGATACAAACATTCGCGCAATGCGTACTCTCGAAACCAGCGTGGATTCATGTACGTGTACGTCCTTCTTTCGCTCCAGATAACCCCCTCCCCTGGGCCTAGGAGGGGGGGGGGCACGTGGCACTAGAGCACCCAATATGGCCCAAGATGGCCCCATGAGGGCCTCAGGGAGCCCAAAATGACCTCCAAGATGGCTGAAAATAGCTGAAGATGGCTCAAGGTAGCCTCCCACATACATCGAAGCCGCCCCAAGACGGCCCCAATACGCTTTCAAATGTCATCCGGGCCCTCCAAAGACCCCCCAAAAAGAGGCCAACATGTTTCCAAAACCTTCGGGCAATCAATGGTTGTTGCGTTCTCCCCGTTTCGCTTCTGATGGGCTTCCGAGGTGAGGACCCCCTCCTTTTGAGCTGCGGCAGCCAAGGCGGCCCCGAGAGACAGACCCGCCCAAAGGGCTCAAAGAAGGCCCCAAAGTGGCCCCCAAAGAGCCCCAAAGGGGCCCCAAAAAGGCCACAAGAGGACCTCAAGAGAGCTCCCAAATGGCTCCAAGAGATACCCGATAATCTCTCACAACCACACTTAAAATTCGCCTGGCAAACTGTTTCTGAATCGTCAAAGAAGAATTTGGAGGAAGTCCCACTCGAGAGCGCGATTCGTGTAAAAAATGTGAAGACGCCCCGCGCGAGAGCGCGAATTGGCAATACACAGTGAAGACGTATCAGGCAGGAGCCGTTGTTGTTGTAACTCAGGGGCCAACGGCCCAGTTTGGTGATCCCTCTCCTTCGCTTGTACAAACCAGGATGCAAGTCCTGGGGGGGAACATTTGGATCAAAAAACATGTGTCCCGGAGGGGGGATCAACATTCACTATTCTGTAAAATGGAAACTCAACCGCAACAACAAGAACAACAATCATTCCAAGACTGTTCGCTCCTATCGGCCCGCGTGTCATTCACTATGCATATCCCAAACCCTGGATACCCGCCCCCTTCGTCTTCGATCGTGCCCCCTTCTGGGGGGTTATATTCTTTCCTGGCCACGTGTAATTGGAGAAGCCCCTAAACAGGGAAACGAAAGGGAAACGACAAACAAAGGACGAAAGGATCGGAGGAAGGGAGGGGTTTGAGGGGCAAGAGGGAGGGGTGACCATGATCCGCGCCGCGAGTTGCGATTCAGTTTGCGCCAGCCATTCCAACACAGGTTAACAAAGGCTTCGCCATGGGTCGCGCCATAAACATCGCCATGCAACACTTCTGGTGCTGCTCGGCGAAGTGTTGGAGGCGAATGTGGCGCCCGATGTGTGAATCAACTGCGAAAAAGTCAGCGGCGAGAGCGCAATTCCTGAGAAGGGGATGTGGGGCCAGGGGCACAGTTTGACCAGGAAGACTTTTCCTGTCAACAAAACAACGTGCGAGCGTCGAGGGGCACACTCTGATTAAGAAAAAACAGCATGCCCCGGGGAGGGGGATCAACAATAATTATTTTCAGCAGCAGCAACAACAATCATTACAATATTGTTCGCTCTTACTTACCCGTGTGTCATTCTAAACGAGTTACCCACACCCTCGACACCCGCCCTTTATGTTTTCGATCACACCCCCTTTGGGGGGACTATTTCTCTTTGCGGGGGGCGGCGGGCTTAGACAGGCGGGCAAGCCTGAACGGGCGGACAATCTTTCGTGGGCATGCATGTGCCCGCCACTGGAATTGGTGTGGGCCCTGCAAAAAGAGGAGGGGGAGAACGAGTGAGAGCGCGAGGAGGGGAGGGGGAGGGACGAAGGAAGAGGGAAAACGCCAGGAGAGAAGGAGCAAAGAGGGGGGCGGTTGATTAGAGCAGAGAAAGAGAGAGAGAGAGAGAGAGAGAGAGAGAGAGAGCGAGAGAGAGAGAGAGAAAGACATATAAGAGAGGTAGAGAGAGAGGGGGGAGAGAGAGAGAGAGAGGGAGAGAGAAAGACAAAACAAAGAAAGAAAGAAAGAGGGAGGAGGCAGGATAGGGGAGGGAGAAGGAGGAGGGAAAGGAGGGAGAGGGGATAGGGCAAAGAGGCATAATGATGAGGGAGGAGAGGAGGGAGAGAGAAGGGAGGAGGAGGGAGGAGGAGGGAGGGAGGAGGCAGGAGGAGCAGGAAGGTAAGAGCGTGAACGTTCGAAGAACTCCTAGGCGAAAGCGTCGTTCCTGAAGAAAGTCTCGGGCGGGAGCCCACGACGGGCGGGCGATCCCCTGACGGGCGGGTCAGGCGGGTGGGACATTCAAACGGGATGCCTGAGTCTGGCGAGAGCGCGATTCCTAAGTAAACTGTGACGGCGTCCTTGGCGCAGCGTGTTTCCTGAGCGTCGAAAGCGCGAGTTTTGCATACATTGCATGAAAGTCACAGGCGAGAGCGCACTTCCTGAATAAAATGTGAGGGGTTCTCTGGCGGGAGCGGGGGTCTTGATTAAATTGCGGGGAAGCCTTGACTCAATTAGGAGGAAGTCTCAAGCGGGAGCGCCGTTCCTGAGTAAATTGTGAGGAAGTCTCAGATGGGAGCGGGGGTCCTGACTAAATTGCGAGGAGGTCAGAGGCGGGAGCACCGATCCTGAGTAAATTGTGAAAAATGCTCAAGCGGGAGCGGGGGTCCTGTTGCTGCAATCTGGGGGGCCAGGGGCACAGTTTGAGCATCAAGAATTTCCCTGACCCAAAAAAACAAGGTGCGTGCGTCGAGGGGCACACTTTGATTGAGACAAAAACAGCATGCCCCGGTGAGGGGGGATCAACAACTAATATTCTTCAGAATGAGAGTTCAACAAAAACAACAACGGCAACAACAACAAACATCATTTTAAGACTGCTCCCTCTTACTGGCTCGCGTGTCTTGCATTCCGTATACCCCAATCCTCGATACCCGCCCACTTCGTCTTCGATTATACCCCTTTCGGGGGGGGGAATATCTTTCTTGTCGGCCACTGACTGAAGTGCGAATAAGTCTCGAGCGAGAGCGTCGTTCCTGAGTTCGGGGGCCTTTCTGGCCAGGGGCTCTCGGAATTCCTATGGAGAAAAATCGATGATGATGATCATCATCATCATCATCATCATCATCATCATCATCATCATCATCATCATCATCATCATCATCATCATCATCATCATCATCATCCAGAGAGCCCCGGATCGGCGGCACTGGCTGGAGGCCATTACAATCGAGCAGGAGCCCTTGTCGTCGTGGCTGGGCCTCCGCCAACTTATTTGAATTGCGAGGAAGTCTCGAGCGAGAGCGCCGTTCCTGAGTTTGGGGGCCTCTCTGGCCAGGATGTCTCGAGGTAAATCGTGAGGAGAAACGAGCGGGAGCCGTTGTTGTCGTAGCTGGGCCTCCAAGGGCCCACATTTAGGCTCAAGCCAACGCTCGAGCGGGAGCCTCGTTTTCAGAGAAAATGTAGCCGGCGTCGAGGCGAGAGCGCGCGGAAGCGTTTCCAGAGATCAGCAATCATCATTTTTTACACAAGCATATTCAACAACATCAACAACAGCACCAACAACAGCAGCAGTAGCAGCAACAATCATTTTAAGACTGTTTGCTCTTATCTACTCGCGGGCCATTCGACACGTGTATCCGAAACCCTCGATACTCACCTTCTTCGTCTTCGATCGTGCCCCCTTGGGGGTATACGTCTCTCTTACCTGCAACGTGTATTTCGCGCAGCCCCTAAGGCAGGGGAAGAGCGGACGGATGGAAGGAAGGGACTAGCTGGAGGAAGGAGGATGGAGCACGAGAGAGAGTAGCAGGATGGGAGGCCAGCCAGTCCCACTGTGGAGGCCGGGAGAAAAGCGAGGTGAGGGGCTCAGGTCCCGATTGACGAGGAACGGATGGGCGATTGGGGGTCGATGTGCCCCCCCCCCCCCCCATCTCCCGGGCCAGCCTCCCCCCGCCCCCCTACGTTGCGTCCTCCTGGACCGGGCGCTCCCTGCTTGCAGCCCCTCCCCGGAAGCGCTGCCGCCCGAGGCGGAGCTGATGGACACCCCCCGCCAGGCCTCGAGAACTTCTGAAAAACTCCGCGCAAGACAGCTTCCGAAACCTCCCCCCCTCAAAGCACAGCCCCCCGCCCCGCCCCCTCCCCGTGGGCCAGGCCGTCCTCCACCCGTCGTCGGCGCCCCTCGAAGGAGGCCGGTGGCGCAGCCTCGGAGTTGCCCCGGCGGCGTTGGCGGAAGACGCCGTGGATGGCCAGCCGGGGCGCCTCCTCCGTGGTGACGCGCGTTACCGCGGAACACAGGGAGGCGGGGTGCACCTCGCGCAGAGCTGCCAACAGATCCCGCAGGGATGGACGAGCAAAAGCAGAGGACGATCGATTCGGATGCAACTCCTGGGGAGGTCAAACTCAGATTCTGCCCTGGTCCGAAATCCAGCTTAATCCAGCGTAATCCCGCTTATCGGCTTAATCCCGCTTATTAATCCGGCTTAATCCCGCTTAATCCGAGGCCCACTCTGGCGTAACAGCCCCCCAATGGGGCTTACTCCTTCTTAATCCTTTCGACGAAGACCTCCCAGTAGTTGCCTTCTAAGATCGAGGATCGAGGGCCGAGGACGCTCGAGGACCATCAGAAGATCGAGGATCGGAGGACGATCAAGGATCGGGGATCGTGTCTGTTGTCTGTGCGCTGCCCTTCTTCTCTGGGGCTCTGGCTGTCGAGGCCTCTGGGGTGCCTGCAGTGGCCTGCAGGGACCTCCGCAGACATCTGCGCACGTGTGGTCGCAGTCGTCGTCGTCGTCGTCGTCGTCGTCGTCGTCGTCGTCGTCGCCGTCGTCGCCGCCGTCGTCGTCGCCGTCGTCGTCGTCGTCGTCGCTGTCGTCGCCGTCGTCGTCGCCGTCGTCGTCGCTGTCGTCGTCGCTGTCGTCGTCGCTGTCGTCGTCGTCGTCGTCGTCGTCATCATCCTCCCCCTCCTCCTGCTCCCTCTCATTATCTTCTCGTTTCGTGTCGCTTGCGCCCTGAGGGGGGGGGGCACGCCCCCGCGCACACCCATAACTCCCGCTCCAGAACAGACCTGTGTGGATCTCTTCCTTTTCCTCGCTCTTCCTACTCCTTCTCCTCCTCTTCTCTCCTCTCTCTCCTTTTGTCTCTCCTCCTCCCTCTCCTCCTCACTATCGACATGCTGCTGATGATCCCTATTCTCCACCTTCTCTTGGTTATCCTCTTCCCGCCTCCGCCTCCTCCTCCTCCTCCTCGTCCTCCACCTGCTCCTCCTCCACCTCCTCCTCCCCCTCCTCCTCCTCCTCCAACTCTTCCTCTTCCTCCTCCTCCCTCTCCTCTGCTCTCATCTTCTCCTCCCTGTGCGCCACCACGACGCCCAGAAATCGAGATGCCATTCGCGCTGCTCTGCCAAGGTCGTCGTCGGCGGCGTCGACGTCGTCGGTCGCTCTTCTGGGACAGATAACTGTTTGTTGCAGCTATGATCCCTGTAAGCCTTCGGGGACATCCTCCTCCTATCTGTCATTCGCCTCGCCATCGGAATCGAACCGACACGAATCGGAGGAATCGAAACGAGCCCTGCCGGGGACAATCCGTTAGAGGGCGTCTGTGTATAGTTGTTGTGGCGGGCTCTCCGAGCGGATGCTGGCCGAGGGAGCTGCGGCGGGCACCACCAGCGTGTTGAAGCGCGGCGGCAGCCTCGCGGCGGGAGAGCCGCCTGGTGGGGGGCGGGGGCCGAGGAGGAAGGGGGGGAGGGGAAGGGGGGGAGGAGGGAGCAGGGGGAGACGGAGGAGGAGGAGGAGGAGGGGGAGAATGAGCAGGAGGAGGAGGAGGAGGAGGAGAAGGGGAGGAGGAGGAGGAGGAGGAGGAGGAGGAGGAGGAGGAGGAGGAGAATGAGGACCATAGCACTATCTGAGCTGGCGAGCTGCTGGAGCTAGTCCGACCTTCTCCTCATCACCCTCTCCGACGGCATCGGCGGCCTCCTCCCTCCCTCCCCCCCTCCTCTTGCGATGAGGGGGCCACCTGCTGCGGGCGGCGGCAGCTCTGGGGCCGCGGCCATCTTACTTGTGGGACGGACTGTGGAGGCGCGTGCAGGCGCGGGCGGGGCAGTAGGACCACAGTAAGCCCACGATGCGTCAACGGTGCTGCAGCGCACCCTCCCGTCCCAAGTCCCATCCTCACGAATCCCCGCTCGGATTCCGCTCCGTTGCGAGAAGCACCCCCCTGAACGACGAGCGCGTGGGCTTGCCACTCAGGCGAGGCCCCGTTTTGTGAAGGATCCACCCTCGATCCTTCCAACTGCAACAAATGCTGACATCCACGGAACTGTCCAACGATGACCCCGTTTTGACAAGAATCTGCCCTCCATCAGTGAGTGCTGCACGCAATTACAGCGATGGTCATGGAACTCTCGGAAACTTCATGCGATTTTCGAACTTTGAAAAAGGCCATCCAACCGTGAAACTGTCGCGGAAGTCTCAAGCGAGAACCCAAGTCTGAAGAAAAGGAGCCGCCCTCCAATCGTGCAGCTGTGCGCCGTATGTAGCTCTGGGCAGTGGACTTTGGGGAAATCTCGAGCGAGAGCCAGAGGTTTTGAAAATTAAT